AAATTAATTTGGGATAGGGCAGGATTTTCCTGCTTTGTCTGGAATTAATTCGATTTTACCAGAGGCATTGCTTGGACACCTCCAGTACAAGAGCACAAGTTCATGTGTTTTGGGCCCTGTCTGGGCACAAAGGGAATATTTTCACAGGAACAAAATCATAAAAGATTTAAAGACCTGACTGAATGGGCTCTGCTGTATAAAATTATTTGACTGTTGTTAGATACATATGAAAGTTGATGAAAAATAAGTCAACATGGCAAAAACATGTTCTACATGGCTTCTTTAGAGAAATGTGCAGAAAACTATTGGTCAAAAATATACCAAATATACAGAAAAATTACTGGGAAGTTGTAGCAGAGGATTTTCAAAAATACAAAGAAATTATGAGGAAAGAAAAGGACTGATAAACAGCTAATCTCTCTATGTGCAAGTGCTGGAAAGTTTCTAAAAAATCTAATGCAATGTGTGATAAATCTTTCAGAGTAATCCTTTTATTCTCTCTTTTGTCTGGTTGTTTCCATAGCAATAGGTTTCACACTTTAGTTAATTTGCTGCTCTGCTGGAAGTTTCTGATCCAATTGTTGAGTTTATATATTTAGACATCTCCTTCGGGGGATTTTAGTTATTTATTTTACTTGTTATGTAACTTTCTATCAGCAGCCTGTAGAGGCGCTGTCTTGTGGCACAGCTACACTGACCAATCAAAATTGGGGGATATGCCAATGTCAAGATTGGCTCCAGGATGGCTGATTAGTGTAAATCCACCCTTGGAGCTTGATATTCGGAATTGGAATCCTCTGAGTGAACTATCATAATATTTGAACTGTTTTTATGGTTGTGCAGTGGTAGTAAAGGAGCAGACAAAAGTTGCCACCTCTTCTAATTTTTGTAATACATCCACAAAAGTAATCCTTTTCCCATCTCCTTTTCCATTGCTCACACAGTTCTGCTGTATTAATAAATACTTCAAGTATCTGCTTGAAACAAATGGGATAAATTATATGTCATCTTCAATGACTTTCTAAACATGTTAAGGTTACTATTGTTGACTGGTCACGAATAATGTCTGATCAAGAAAGAAAAGTAAAATAAGAAAAATAATCGATGCAATGTTTCTTGACTAAATGGTATTTTAAACTTGGGATAGGCTTCGCTTTGGAGAGCATAGAATTAACGTTAATAACAAATAATGAAAGAAATGCTTGAAATCATAAGGCTAGTGTTATACAATTTTGCATCATAAAAATCTTTTAAATTACTCCCAGAAGGTAAAAGAAAAGTAATGCAGTATGAGTAACCTAAACAGTTTATAAATGGCTATTGTATTAAAGATTAAATATCACACTGCATTACATGGTGAGTTTAAAGTCTACTTGAAGCAAAGACTCCTCACACAAAGGTAAAAGCATTGTAATGCACTTATTAATAGCTTGGGTAAATATAAATAATTCATAAAGTCGTATTCCTAGCAGAAGTATAAAGCCACAGATCATAAATTATTGCCTGAAACTCCTTTTAATATAGCAGACTCTTTTATTTAAGGAAACATACGGCAAAATACTTCTTTCTAGACGTGATAGTAAAAAAATAGAACATTACAAATATGAATTAATCATGTGCTATTGGGTTGAATGAAATAAGAAAGAAAGAAACCCCTATAAAAACAATGATCATATTGATGGTGATGACAATTATAATAATGATGATATATGTAGGATCTCCAGAGCAACTTCCAGCAGAAGTTTACCAAGGAGTTGTATTAGATGAAAGATATATTTCTGGAAGGTGTCCCCTCAAGTATAAAATTAGCATTTTAAAATTTGTAGTTCTTCCACTTTAGAGGAAGTTTTGAACCCCTAACTCTTGTATTGTAGACCTACTGTATAGTAGTCATTTCAGTTTAGTTCTGCATATTTTACAGTGTATATCTGCACAGAAAGAAGTCCTGCTGCATACCCTGCAACTGTCCCAATTTGGCTTGAATGACTCTGGACCCATCCACCCCGGGCCACATATGTTGATGGTGATAGAGTGGAGTACTCCAGATCAGCACCCCCAGAGTATGCACTGCCAGCTGCTGAACTGACTCAACAGCTTGTGAGTAGCTACCTTGCATGGCACCAAGCTGTCCTAGTGGCTAGATGCAGCGCATACAACCCAACAGTACTGAACCTGGTTCAGAGCCACTGGACTACCAACCTTGCCTTCCCCCTCTAATCCTCAGCTTAGTGGTTACCACCAGGCCTGGAACTGCCACTTATCATTGCCAATCACATCAACTGACAAAGCAATGCAGGAGGGGAAATTTCTGCCTACTACTATTCTCCTATCACTATGGTGCACAAGTCAATGATGTGAAGAGCAAAGTTAAGCAGCTTTGGAAGGGATTAGGGCAGACGGATGTTGTGCATCATGTGGATGCCAAGAAGTCAATTTACTCCTGCCCCAATGCATTGGCCTGTGTAGATGGGCCCTCTGTTCAATGGAACATATTCGTAGGCAAAAGTTTACATGGGATTAGAGGTCTGATTATGTCGCTGGAATGGTTGTCATGCTGTTAATGTTGCCTATTTGCAAAATTAATACCTAGGGAGGGAACTGATAATTCCTGAGGAAGTTCAGTTACCTAGGAGTCATGATGGTCCAATTTTGCCAAGTGATTTGACTTTGAATACCCTTGAGTACCTTTTTCCCTGGTTGTTCTCACATTCGATTTGTTCACTGTGTCTGGCTTTTTAAATTTGTTCTACTATAGAGTTTTTGAAAAATAGTATATCCAAATGATTTTTAAATTGTGAATTTTAAATTATGTCCTGTTTGTTTTATTATGTATTGATTGTGTGTGTGTGTGTGTTATTTTAATAATTTTAAATAAGTTGTGTTATGCCTCTTTAAACTCCTTCAGTATTTTGTTTTAATATGTTGTTCCACATCTCAGTCCATGGAGATATCATCATCAGCATTGTTGCCATCATTTTAAAAATAAACATAAAATGTCTCAAATCCAGAAATTCTAGGAAAGCAATATGTACATGGGCCCCTGCTATGTGAAGGACCACATGTTTCCACATTTGCTACATGTAACATCAAGTGATATTCTTAGCTTTCTCTCTCCTTCTGTAGTTAGAGACTGGATCACTCTGGAATGCTCTGCCCAGAGCTCAGAAAAGTAGCTTTTGTTATATTAGAAGTTCTAGAACGCAGCAAGCATGGTCATTGGCCATGCTGTGAATTCTGGGAGATTTACTTCAAATGTAATATCCATACTCTGGCCCAAGAAGAACTACACAGCATTTTCCCTAATACTTTTTTAAATAAAGTGAATATATTTCCCCAGGCCTTTTAAAGACGTGAAGAGAGTGTGTGCTTTAACTGTGTGCAATTTTGCACACTGCCACATAATCATTATCATTTTATTGTCTTTATCCATTTTCAACAAGCAAGAATTCTAAGTGAAAAACTACTTGGAGAAATCTCTTCCAATGGAATAACACTTTGGATCCAACACATAATATCGTATTTATTTAGCAGGTTGTCACAACATACAATCCATGGCTTAGTAATACTACATTTGTGTAAAACAATCAGCACAATAATTATCTGCATACATTATAAAACCACTGGTTTTGATCAGTATTGCAGACAAATATTTATATTGAGATGAATTATTATGATCACACATTATTCTGAATTGGGAATAATTTATCTTTTAATACAATACTATGGTTAAGATGTTCTGTTTGATTTATGACTGCTTTCATGCATGGAGCTCTAAATCCATCTTTAACATAACACCATTCAATTACATGCCTGCTATTTTAACAGCATGGCCCATAGAGTTGAAAGATAATATTTTCACATATCGAGTTAGGCTGTCATATAACAGTCTACATCTGCATGAATATATTTGCACAGGTTTTTATACTATTTTGTATACACAGATATTTTAGAAAATAATTATGATTTGCTAATACTATGAGCAAATGATATCACTGTGGAGGGAATAGAAATGGAATTTATTTTGGAAACTATCTGTATTTCAGATAGTAAGATCAGGCATATGTAAAAAACTTTTTTTAAAAAAATAGGTTGATCTTAATATAAATGGTTTAATTCATTACTGATTAAATGTGCAAATAAATAAAATGAAAGCAAGCAAGGATCAATCTAGCTACTGTGGCAACCAGTATTGTTGGCCTTACTGAAAATACATATTAAGACACAAATAGTATTCAGTTCAACAAATATTGCAGAATGTCATGTCACAGTCCACTTCAACAATTAACAACAGAGGCAGTTAATTTCAATTGAGACGGTTCCTTTAATGTTTGGATGATGATGATGATGATGATGATGATGATGATGATGATGATGATAACTTATAAAGGATAATGCTTAGAATATAATAAAGCAAGCAAACAAACAATGGACCAGCAGGTGAAGGCAGGCAAAAGCATGTGGGAGAGGCAGTCAAGGGCATGCCAGGGGGCTGTGGGTCAACCGAAGAAGAAGCAGCATACGGGGCCTGCTCCTCCTCCTCTTGACCTTGCTACATATGTTTCTGTTTGAAAGAAAGCATGAAGTAATGTAGCAATTTTTGTCTCACTGGATGAATTTTTAAAAAACACAGAGACTTAAAAATCAATTAACAATTCAAGTCGCATTTGGCACAAAATCACGCATGGTTTTTCTGTGCAGAAAACAGCTTTTTCTGTGCTGGCAACAGAGAAGATTCTTGTTAGTCTAGGCACAGGTTTTGTGCCAATATTATAAATGTGTCTTTTCAATTGATAAAAGTAGTAATAATCATAACAATCTTGTTCAGAGTATGTTGAGGCACTCATTTCACATTCACATATTGTCCTTAATAATCATATGAAATAACATACCTATATGAAATAAGAGAATGGCACATAGTGTTGTTATAAACAATATGGAGGAGGAGTGGGATTATCCCAACTACATCTGATGAATTCAGAGAAAACGGACATATGACTTACCCATGGGAGTTCCAACTCCATAGCCTTTGGAATCAATCAGGCCTCCAATTTGTGTGAGGTTACAGTTTCGCTGCGTAACAAACTCAATGGTAGTTGACTCCATTAGAAAGGCATAATCTGATGTGAGTACACGCTGGATGCCTTCTTCATTACTTTTGACAAGCACTGACTGTCTCCTGCTATTCATAAAAGCCCACATTTTTTCATACGTGGCGATTTTTGATTTCTGAAACAAAAATTGCAGCATTAATAAGACAACATCTTTGTGTTGCTGTAACTAAAGCACAAGCAGTGGATCGCAAAATAAGAAGCAGGAGGAGACAGTATCTTCATTGGAGAACGAATCATAAGGCTGAACTGTAAATTGGTATTTTATGAACCTGAAGTAAATTGGTTTAACTAGCATGGCTTCATTCAAAGGTCCCTAGTAAATGTTATTTTGTGAAGCTGAAGCTTATATTTTATAACCATGCTGACTTAAAATTCCAAGGAATCACCAGGGAAAGTAAATCAAAACATTGGTTGTTGGCTAGCCTTTCAAACAATTTCAGCAGTCTGGTTATCATAAACCCTGAGTGATAATAAGAGCTTTGTAAAAGCTCAGAGTGCACAGCAAAATTCAATCCTAAGAATTTCATGATAGTTTTTCTTACCATGTAATATAGTTTCCAACATTATGCAATATTACAATTCTCTACAAGACAAAGGAAACCATTCATGGATCTGTATGATTTGAAAAAAATAACTTCAAGTGGTAATTCCACTTCTCTTACTGCTGACATATATTGCTTGTGTATATTGACAAACCCTTCTCTGAGATGGAGGAACTGATAGATAAGAAACTATCTCACAGAGATGGCTGGAGCTAAAATGCAGGAAAAATAATTGTAGAAGTGTAACCCAAGCCCAAAGTAAAACCAACAGAATACTGCAGATTTGTAATAGTAAAAGTTATCTGCAAAATGATAAGGGGTTAAGATAAGGGTCTAAATGGGATTATTTCTACCCTAAATTATTTCCTGATAAACTCTTCCAACTAATCTAAATTAGCTAGCAGATAGAATACAGGATGCATTTCAAACATTGTTGTTACCAAGCAATGGACAATAAATGTTACTTCCAGAAATCCAGTGACTAGATCTAGACTTAGACATGCACAGCTGGAATAGTGGAAGATGCTCCCACCCTCATTATTACATTGACACTACCTCACTCCCAGTAAATACTACCCTGAAAGTGCTCAGTCTCAAAATAATGGTAGGGACACCCATGGTTCCATCCTTGGCTTCTTACAATATGATTTTGGTTCATTTATATCAAGTAGGTTAGCCGAGTGCAAATCTGGTCCAAAGCATGCTGATGTTGATTGTAGGGCAATTGTTCAGAAGGACCAGAACTGTATAGGCCTTACTAGGCTTTCAAATCATGCATGTCACCATTGCCACTCTACACCATGGAGCTCTGTCTGTAAACCTGCCCATTGTCTCATATTTGGGCACCTGAGCAATCTGGGCACCTGAGCAATCTCCTCTTTCTTGGTGGTCACATGGGTGTCTATGAAATCAGAATGGGACACCCATATGACCAGTAAGAAAAAGGAGATCCATCTCCCCTCCTTCTTGCTGATTGCTCAGGTGCCCAGTTCTGGCATCTCAAATATAACAGGCAATGGCCAGGTTTACAGACATAGCTCTATGGCCAGTGGAGAGTGGTGGTGACATGGACAAAAACCCCTCTTTCTGTAACAGCAGTGTTTATCTGGATGGGGGACCAAGCTGAATTCATGGTGGTAGTGCCTATCTGGACATGGGATAGGGCCAAATTTCAACCAATACACAGAGTTTCAAGTAAATTCCAAAGTATTTCCCAACTTTGCTTTAAGCTGGCCAGAATCCATTTAAAACCCCAAACTTTAAATGATTGTAAAAGTGAGCTTAAGTCCAACCCTCTGCCATGCAGGAACACACAATCAAAGCACCCCTGACAGGTTGCTATCCAACCTCTGCTTAAAGATCTCCAGAGAAGGAGATAAGAATATATAGTACAAAGTAAAATTATTCCCAAATTTTCTCAGATGTCTTTAAGATAATAATACTTACTTTGTTCAGTTTTGAATTCTAGAAAACATTTTAAATATTTTAAAAGGCAGTTTGAGAATGTGTAGAATCATGAGCTGTTATAGAGTTATTTGTACATAAGCACAAAAATTGGAAGTAAAAACATACATTAAAAAAGAAAGGGAAATAACAAATGGTGGCTGCAAAGAGTAATATGATCTGGATAGGACTTCCAGTTGCAGACCAACAGGTTCTGGAAGGCCATTTATCGCTATCCCTGTTCTACAAAAAGTCAAAATGATGAGAAAACTAGAAACCTTGAAAATGTAGTGAAACTGTTAAAAAATGAAAATAAGAGAAGTCAACTAAGGAACCCTGTGAAGAGAAGCAAAGAAAAGTGAATGGTCAGATGCATGAAAGGCTGAAAGGGGGATTCAAAAAAGGAACAGAACAAAGAATAATGTTTAAGTTTTTGCTATAAGAAAATAATTGGAAGTACATAGCACTGTCATTTTTATTGCATAGAATGGCATGTGTTTTTTTGCCATGGCAGGTTTTGGAATGGGAGAATTCCTTGTGATGTAGAAGAACCAATGGATTAGACATGATACATGCTACAAGAAAAGCATGAAAAATAGCATTACATGGACACTGCTTGATAAGAAATAACATACAAGTCTGCCCTAAGGTCTTCTCATGGAGGGTCATACAGGGGAAAAATTGCATCACGTTTAGATCTTTTCTCCATATTAAAAGAAAACACAAGGACTGTTATTATTTGCCCTTTGTCAGTTATCTCATTACAGAAAGCAACAAGTAAAATTAAACTTTTTTTCTGTCATGCACTAATGTTAACTTTCTACTTAGCTAGCTACTTCTCCAACTCTGGGACAAGAGCGGAGAACAAGATTGACATTGCAGATCTTTCTAAAGTTGAGTTGACTGGCATCTGCAGCTTTGCCCTGAAGGAGGATTAGTAGTATATATGGGATAAAAGGAAGAACATTTATTCTGAATAACGATAACTTCATATCCCTGCTGAGACACAATTCAAGGCTTATTTCAATTTGCCTGGGGACCTGTGCAGATCTATCATTCAAACATTGCCAGGCCCCAATGGTAATAAAAATAGAATTTTATAGCCATCTGTAAGAAATTACTGAGATGACACCAAATCTAGTATTGATTGTGGGACATTTCAATGAGAAAGTGGAGAGAAAAGAAACGAGAACATAACGGATGGTACAAACACATGAACAAGGGTTTAGCATATGTACACTGATCAAAAAGAAAATTATGCTTGTTTGCAATTTGCATTAATAATGTGATATGATAATGTACACTTAGCTTTATGCAACATATGGAACTTTAAATATTTCTATTGTGCAGAAGAGACAAAATAGCCAATATTTTCAAGTAAATAGAACACCGCTTTATCAATACACCGCTTTATCAATACTAATTCCTTTTTGGTAACGTGTTTACAATGACTTTTGCTTTCAGTGGCAATGAAATAGAGGGATAACAGATCAATTGAAGTGTTTATGGCGTGTTCAACATCTCAGTAGTAGCAAACAATAAACTAAGATGTTCAAGCTGCAGTCTATAATGTCAACAGCTTTCCATTCAAAATGCAAGCATTCATATATATTTCTGGTCCTCATTTAGCAAGTGATTTCCAGTGTTACTTGAAATGCATCCATAAATTTTATTTTTAAAAAAGTAAATAGGCTTGTTTGTTTGACAGCACCACAGTTGCAAGTCCCTGAAACTTATACACCTGAATGTTTGCAGCTATACTAAGGACCTCATCACATTTTCTGCTGGAATCGCCATGCATTGTGGTGAATCACATGGTGCCCGGTGGAACCTATCACCTCATGCTCCGTATTGCCCAGCTTCCCCCTTACCTCATCCCAGGGGGGATGCGTCCACTGCCCAGCTTCCCCCATTGATCTCTATGCAACACAGGAAGCCTCCCATGTTGCCGCCAAATGACGGTTCCCCTTCCCTCCAGACTTTCTGAAGAACTGCTGCCATTTTCCCAACAGCTGTAATGGTTGCTTCAAATAAAGTGTGAGCATTAAGGTTCCTAAATATGAGCCAGTGACTGCCCAGAGTTCAACTGCAGTAATATGCATGTCACATCACATCTTTTCTTTGTTCAAATAGGAAAAATGCAGTACTGGCTTCTGCAATGAGGTGTGCCACTTCTATTCACTGTTCCTTTTTATCTCAATAGAGAAGAATTTGGATGTTTATCACATATTACTATGACATCCTGTCCAGTGTCACATATTTATGAGGTATTTTGCACAATCTTGAAGAGAACACTCCATCCCACTATTTGTATCTTAGAGTAATATTCAACAAGAGAACTCATCAATAATATCCCATTGTGGATTGACTACTTGAGTATTTGCGTACCTAAAGAAGGGCAAGTATTTCCTGCTCTACCAGCTTTCAATCAACTATCCCAGAATTCAATGGGGGAAGCCTGGCAGCAGATAGTCCCTCCTCCCCCAGGATGAGGTAAGGGGGATGCCGGGCAATGCAAGATATGGGGTGACAGGTTCTCCATGACACATTTGACACATTTTTTTTCTTTTGCAAAATCCAAACAAGCCAGTTCATTAATCAAACAAAACTGATTACATAGTTGCCAAGAGCCTCTCATCCACTTTTTCCTGCTCCTTACAGAAACAAGCAGAAAGTCAAAAGAAGATTGGTTCCTCCTCATTGCAATGTACACATTTTTCCAGACAAGATGCATTTAACCAAATGCCAGTGATACATATATAGCCACATATGACAACTTGCATTGCATTGCTGATTAATTGATCTATGGATGCCTTTGATGGAGCATGTTCTTTCACTTTGTCTTAGATCTCATCTTATTAGGAATAACCTGCTCTATCAAAAAATGATATCTGGAAGAGAAAAAACTTGTGGCAGCATAATTTATTAAGTTTGTTTTGCCATTGTAACCCAGGAGATAATGCAGCATTTTAAAGTGAGATAGTTATGACATGTGACATTTCACATGGAAGAAAGGAGACAGTGATGACTCTGAAGTCCTGAAGGCCATCATGACTAGCAAGATAATTAGAGGTTAAGAAAATCAAAGAGTTCAGCTTCTTGATGCTTCAAGATGGAAGATAACACAATG